TATATTTTACTGCCTCCTGAAACAAAATAAGCGTTTGTGCCTGGATAATATTGATGCAGATTGCAGATCCTAGAACCTGAAAGGTGTGTGCCAAGCTGAATCAGATGATGAGCGTCCAAAAAGAGGTCTACCAAGAAACCTATAAGAGGAAATCATGCCTTGTAAATACTGTTATGCTAGCCTTGCATAACACTGCATTTCTTTTTAAAAACTGATACTGAAGATGGTCAGTCTCTTTAAAACCTGCCAGTCCCACCACTGTTGGAGTATTTTACTTGTTCCTTGCTGCACAGTTTTGCTTTTAATTCTAACAGGACATAGCTATACATGTCATGCTACTAAGTTAGTTTAAACCCTACATAACACTGTTCTAAAAAGCAAACTGGCACTCACCCCTATCTCTGAAAAAACAAGACTGAACTATTATAACCATTTAAATGCAGCCTCTCAGATTATTACAAATGCTCTATCCGGACTGGTTCTCTTAGGCTGGGTTCACACCTTGGCGTTTTATGTATGCGCGTCTTACGCGCGTTTTTACCGACGTTTTTCAGGCGTATTGTGAAGAAGCATCTGGGGTACAGCGCATGGTGCCACCGTTTGGGACCAATATGCGTCATATTTCATGACACCTGAGGGGGAGGAGACAAAACGGAAAGGTGTGAACGGGGCCTTAGGTGGGTAGAAGATCTTCCAACCTATGTACATCTAACTGAGTTATCACAAACATTTTGTTTAAAAACATATTGTATCTTTTCTTTTTTTATGTTTTAGGAAGTAATACAGAGAGAGAGAGGGTACAAGAGGTATTAGATATGGAAAGAAATCTATTTTATATCTCCGCTTCATACCAAGTCTAATTAGGAATTCCCTATCTGATGTGAAACTAACACTTGTTTAATGACCTTTTGCTTAATTAAAAGAACATTGTGTGTAGTATTTGTATTGCAGGTAAAGCTATTTGGGCTGCTATGGTCACCAGGCACATGAACAAATGCAATTAGGTAGTAGACGTATCTGATCTGATAAAGGTTTAGCATTTAGGCAAAGCTGCTGACTGGTTGGCTGTTGGGAAGGAATAGGGTATTTCTAGTTGGCACATATTTTGAGGTACTATTGCTGAGTTTAAAGCAATTTTTACATTGCTAAATTCATTCACTTCCAAATTTCTGCTATTACAGATTTGTATGTTAACTAGAGAAGTGCTAGCCTCTTTCCAGGTTGAATGCAATATTAGGAAAATACCGCATTATGGCCACTAGATAAAACTAAGGCGCACAAGAAATACTTATTTCCTATGCTCCTCATCTCCATCTAGTGGCCATAATACAGTGATTTTGTGATATTCCATTTGACTTGGAAAGAAAGTACAGTATACTAAGACCGTTTATTTTTGCCTCCATTTGCACAGAATGAACTTCACAGGACAAATGGCTCTGCAAGTTGCTTATAAATACACCCCTTAGTGTGCACCAAGTGCCTTGTTTTCAATAAATTGGCCAACTCATAGGGACTGATGTATAAACGTTCTGTTCAGCATATAGCTGGGTGAATGCTGTTTGGACAGCAATCCGTTACTAGATGAAGCCGAGGCGCATAGAAAATACTCCTTGGCTTCATCTAATAGAGTGAATGCCATGCAAATGGCAGTCATCCAGCGTATAGGGAACGTTTGTACATGAGCCCCATAGACTTGCATTGTGACAGACAACAGCAAAGCAGACGCACTGTGTAGTACTGCAAACTGGAAAGCAGTATCTGTGCATATCATAGAAACAACCTTTTTTAACAACATGAATATGCCTAAATAACATTTACTTCACAGTTTTACTTAACATGTTTACTTAAAGGAGAATTATGAGGTGAGTGATTTTCACTCAGCCTCATAATCTGAGCCGACCTGTGACAATAAAACTGTCACAGGTCGGCTCAGTAGATCGGGAAGAGGCTCTGCCTCTAGATAGGCAGAGCCAGCTGTCACTCACGCAGCTGGTTGGATCAGGGCCGTCTTTAACGCAGGGCAAAAGGGGCAGTCGCCCAGGGCCCAATCATTAGGCACAGCTTCCCACCAGGATATTGAATATCCTGGCTCTATCTCCTGGCTGTCTCTCATTGCTCTTTCTCCTGGCTGTCTCTCTTTGCTCTCTCCCCTAGCTCTCTCTCCTGGCTGCCTCTCCTCTTCTTCTCTCTCTCCCGTCTGTCTCTTCTCACTCTCTCTCCTGGCTGTCGTTCCTCAATTTTTCTCCTGGCTGTCTCTCTTTGCTCTCTCCCCTTGTTGTCTCTTCACGCTCTCTCTCCTGGCTGTCTCTTCTCACTCTCTCTCCTGGCTGCCTCTCCTCGCTCTCCTACCTGGATGTCTCTTCTCTCTCCCTCCTGGCTGCCTCTCCTCGCTCTCCTACCTGGATGTCTCTTCTCTCTCCCTCCTGGCTGCCTCTCCTCGCTCTCCTACCTGGATGTCTCTTCTCTCTCCCTCCTGGCTGCCTCTCCTCGCTCTCCTACCTGGATGTCTCTTCTCTCTCCCCTTGCTGTCTCTCCCCGCTCTCTCCTCGTTCTCTCCCATGTCTGTCTCTCCTCCCTCTCTCCTCATTCTCTCTTGTTTATTCTAAAAAAAAAAGTTGCAGTGTGGTGTTAGACTGTTCGGGATTCGCTTGAAACAAAAGGCAGCAACCCTTGCAGCACCATTCTGTTTACTATGCGATGCAGCTCGCAGTATACTGAGCTTTGGGTGACGGAAGGATGCTAGTTTGTGTCCTCCCGTTATGGGGAAATGCCCTAACCCCATAGTTCTCCTTTAACATTTACTGATTTATTCTAACACCTAATTAAAACAAAAATCTGCTCAGAAGACAACAGTCCCCTCAGCTGTGATTATGTGTGTATTATACCAGTGCCAAGGTATTTGGTGCGTCTGTGTGTGAACGTTTATAACATTTGTAGAACTTCTGACAGTTTGCTAATTTAGAGAGTCAATTGGATATGATTTGGATTTAGAACCAATGGGTTTTTATTGTGGTCTCTTTTTGTTTTTGGGGAAACTTCTTACTTCCTTTCCTAGAGACACAACTGAAAGTGAGAATAACCCTCTAGAGTGAGATGAAATTACATCTTATCATACCAGGTGTCTGTATTGGGGGACTCTGGTGACAACTATAAAATCTTAGATTTCCCCTCACGTTCTGTAATAAAAGTAAATCCCCCAAGAAATTACGAATGCAGAAGTAAAATTCTGACTGAAGTTCTGTCCCTTCTTCGCACTACCCAAAAGAAAAAAAAATTTGCCTAAGGTTCTGCTTTAAGGAAGTGTGGAGCATCAGAGGGCTGGTTTGCTCAAGGTTCCCATTCATTTTACAATGGTTTCAATTTTATAGTGATTATATTGTATTAGGAAAGGCATAGCGCAATTACACAATACTGATGACCTATAACATGAGTCATTCATGACACAACTTCGGTGTTAATGTCATGCAGTGCAGGTCTTTGCTTCTATATATAGCTTTTCAAGGAAACACTAATTACAATTTGCGGTAATTTTATTTCAGATGAGATTCATATAGGAAAAAGGACATGAGCTAACAAAATAACTTTTATTGTAATGGCAGCTATCCCATAGCTACCTGCACTAATTCTTGCATAATCCTGTACAAACCACGAAAACATGAAAGCCTTATTAATGAAACTAATACACTGTAGTTGGGATGAAAGTTTCAGTAGAGACAAACGGTAAGAAAACATGTGAGTGTAATGTATTCCTCTGTGAGATTCATGCATGTAGGAAGCACTGTTTAAAGCAAATGATAGCTGCCATCATCCACAGACATTCACATGTAATTGCACATGCTGAAATTACATGCTTTCAAGGGTGGTTGTCCCCCATGTACAATTACATGCACATGGCTGTGGGCACTGGCAGCTGTCAATGCATTGAACAGCGCTTCCCATCCGCAACTGTTCACATGAGTCTCATAGACCAGTTAGTTGGGTTCATGCCATCGCCCCTATTCGCAAGTGTGCATGGTACCCGAGTCACTGTATTAACTAATCTCCCCTGCTCCTTTTCATGTTCTCTTTTTGTTTTCTTACCCTTTGTTTAGAAGGAAAAAAAAACCTTATTTACAAAGCCTAGTAGTTCAAGCTGAAATTTTACACACACAAATGAGTCAGGACAGCTCCATCGGAGGTGTCAATAAGACAAAGTAAGGGCAAAGCAAATGTTAAAATGTGAATAGCACATAAAATTGAACTGAATACTAGATAATAGAAATTTAAAATATGCGCTCACTGAGAATATACTATGCTTTTCTTACACATTGTCTTGCCCTAAATAAATAAAAAAGTTTGGGGCGGGGATTGGAGGACAAAGTAGACATTAAGAAAGTGAGACTCTTGGCTTCCCACAAGAGAGTAGCCATAAAAGCAAACAAAAAGTATAATTAAACTCTCGTTTTTGGTTTTCTTTTTTGCATATATCTACTGTAGTAGATATATGCAAAAACATTTCACAAAATTTAAAAAAAGTTACCAAAAAGGTAATTACTTACCTCTGTCTCCACCGCTCGCTCCCGTCTGAAGATTCTGGAGTGGTCAAGCAGGATGATGGGGCGGGTGCTGAATGCACGCAGCCGGGAGGGTGCACATTGGACAGACACCGTGGGACAGGAAGAGACTGCGGAGGATCAGAGACCGGCACCAGCGCTGGAGGGATTGCTGAATATAAATGGAAGGAAGAAGATGATCGGCTCAAGAGGCATCATTTAAGGCAAGTCCTTAAAGCAGCCGAGCGGGAGGAAATATTTGTCACTTTAACAAATAGCCCAGGAAGGGAAATAAATGTATGGGGGAGGTGTGGAGTGCTACGCTAAGGGATCTGTGTGAGAGTGGGCTGTGAGGTACTGGGGATGCAAGTGGCAGCTGGCCTTGGGCAGGACAGTGGCAATAGATATGTTTGATAAGTGCGGAGGACACAAGTGAAGAGTGGCCATGGGCAGGTCGGCAGAAAGAAATGTTTGTGAGAAGTGCTAAGGGTGAGTGGCTTGGGGCAGGACAGTGGAAAGAGATGTGTGTGTGTGGGAAGTACTAAGGAGACAAGTGACCAGGGGCGGGGCAGTAAAGAGACGCATGAGAAGTGCCAAGGAGGCAAGTGAAAGGTGGCCAGGGGCAGGACAATGGACACAGGAGGTTTGGTGAACTTGGAAAAAAAAAATCTGCTAATCCTAAACATAGCTCTCAACCTCGTTAAAGTTTCTTTTTATTTTTAAGGCTAAAATAAAATAAAAGTGCATATGGGTAGCTGAGTACTGCCATGAGACATGTACCAATGCAAAAAAAAAATATTGTTTAGCAGGAATAGGGATTCAAATGTTTTCAGGGTGCATTAAACTGCAAAAGAAACTGCGGGGCACTAGGATACCCCTTTAAAAGATTTTTTTTTTTTACAAACAGCTGTCAGGCATTTAGCAGTGGTAGTAGCAGTACTGCTAATAAATAACAGATCCCCGCCACCCTGCGTTTGTCAACAGACCCAGATTTAGAGGATTGACAGATCTCCGCCGACTTTTTTGTGAAATGGGGGCAGCAAGTGTAGGGATAAAAGCCTCATCCCCACATCCTGTCCCCATAAGGCATGTGGGGGTCTGCAGGGTGGGGGATTCATCAGAATCTGGAATCTCGCTTTAAAATAAGGCGGGGCCCTGGATATCTGCCCCCCACCCCACCCCTCTGGTGAATGAGTAAAGGGGTACAAGGAGTACCCCTTGCTACTGATTCACAAAAAAATTAAATAGAAAATTAAAACACAATGCAGAAAAAGTTTATTATTGTAAGGGGGGAAAATGGCACATTGAGCAATGCCTGACAATGTAGAACTGCCACCTCTACAACAATGCTGCCCTACCACTACTCCCATCACAAATTACAACTCTTCAGCGCTGCTGAAATGTAAACAGTGTAACAAAGTAAACACTCTAGGCAAACTAGTAGTGATGTCATTGACCAAATATTAAGTAAATTGACCCGGCTTGTTTAGTTTCAAACAGAAGCCCGGCAGGTATCTGTCATTTAGAGGTGGTAGTGATACTGCCGCTAAATGACAGACTTCTGACTACATCAGCCGGGAAGCTCGGGTAAGTGGACCTGGGAACTGGCCAAACATGGACAGTTTGTTTTCCCGCTCCCAGAACTGCGAATAAGTTGGGTTTGAGTTGAACCAATGTTCAATCCAACCACAAAGCTAATGCTTTGTGTTAAAACTAGAGACTGCCTTGCAGGATTAGCTTTTAACATACCGTATATGGTACTGATATGATAGGATTATTTGGGATTTAAAGCAAGGTGCTTACAATATGAGCTGGCCACCTAGCTTTTTTATACCAACATTCTTTCAAGACAGGCTGGCTTCATATTCTATGGAGTTCATATAAAAAATAAAAAAAAGTGTAAATATATTATGCAAGATGTTAATGGATATGAAATCACCGCTCTCCTGTGTCAGCTATAAAAGAGTCTGACACGTGCAGAATGCGCTCATCATTGTTTAGATATTTACTGCTTTAGTTTCTGCCAAGTCGATAGATGCTTAGTTTCAAGTACATAAACTGTCATGTGCCCACTGTACTACTAAAACTGTCATTTTAGCATTATAATAACCATGTTCAGACAGGTATTTGATTCTTTCTGAACAATTCTTTCTGAACAATGCTTCCTGTAAATACAGACCAAACCTATTGTAAATTGCCAGATTTCATTTGGAGCATTTGTGTTTCTTAGTAGACATGTGATATAATTATTTAGCAGTTCTTTTTCAGGACATATCACAGGTGCGCACTTCCTGTCGTAAACATACAGTACATTTAAGAATGTTGGCAAGTGTGTTGGTACTGCTAATATATTTAAAGGATAATCGTGAGCAAAACGTTGTGCATGTTTGTATAGTGATTAAGAGGAATGTATAAAGCTTTGGGTCAATTTTCTTTTTTTTTAGTTTGTAGATTAATTAAAATGTTTTATATTTTTGAATCTATTTACATCAATAAACATTAAATATATGATCCACCTTAGACACAAGATTCACAAAGCATTATCAGTTTTCTAAAGCAAAAGCACAGAAGGTATTGGTTTTTTTTTAGACTTTTTCTCTAATTGAAAGCCTGTATGAACCCATCTAAATAAAGTAGACAAGTGGGAGAGAGGGAAAATGAGTTGTGTGTCTAAAACTGGCCTTTCACCAAAATAATTTTGTTTAAATTTTTGTTTTCTATTTTTGGAATGTTTACATTTCTTCTAATAGGTGGTGGGGTTAAATCGATAATTGATTTTGACCGTAGTGAAAAAAAAATGGGGAAAAAAATAATTCTAACAGTGAATGTATTTTTTGTTCAAGAAACTCCATTAATTTCATAATTTCGAATGACATTCGTCCAGTCTCTGATGGCATTATTAAATGTTTTGAGGACATTTTTCATATAAACATGTCTGCGAAACCAGTGTATGGCCAGCTTAAGAGGCAAGCTTCAAACTATAAGTGCTCGTAGGGTCCTTAATGCAAATGTAAATATTAATCATATCAAATATTTTATAGTTACCAGACAAAAAATATAGGATGGGTTCACTTTAGACTTTCCGATGGTGGCAGCAGCCTCCTGTGGTGTTTACGGTCTTCGTGCAAAAATATTGGCCGTCCCAAGTCTACAGCAAGTTATTGTACAGGCAAAGGACAAGATTTTGCACTGAGGCTGTGGATGTGTGTTGGGGTACCACTCTAAATCATTGACATTGCAGTGCACCACACAGAAGCCACTCTTAGGGCAGCCTAAAACCTTTTGTATGTAAATAGGAAACCTTTTTGAGGTTTATATAGTTAGGGAAGGGCTGAGGAGCATTAGTTCCCCAGTCCAGTAGTAATAATATATGTTGGGCTGGTGACCTTAAGTGGTAGTATAGTACATCACCATTCAGACATAGATTACAGTTGCAGTCACAGTCAGTGACACATGCTTGGCATCAAATAGCTACTTGCACTTGTTCAGACCTGTGATCACAGTATCTGCCAGAGGGAAATCTTTTAGCACCAACTTCATTTGATACTGATGCTGGAAGAAGTGAACAAGTATGTGACAATATGTGAACCTATGTCAGTAATGGCGAACCTTGGCACTCCAGCTGTTTTGGAACTACAAGTCCCATGAGGCATTGCAAGGCACTGACAGCCACTGACATAACTCCCAGAGGCAGATGCATGTTGGGATTTGTAGTTTTGGCACGGCTGGAGTGCCAAGGTTCGCCACCACTGACCTATGTCCTCTCCTTGCTCCTCAGCAATAAAAAGTAAAAGCACTAGAGTGAATGGTGCCCAACTTATTTTTCACCCCACCATACACCAAGACCCTGAGATGGAAATGTTAGGCTGCCACCTTACTGAGGCGTTCATTCTGCTTCACCCCAAAAAAAGGAGCGCTACATATGCATGCACATTTTAGGTGTGTAAGACGAGCCCATTCAAATGAATAGGCTACCTATCTCCAGAAAATGTTCCACCCCCCTCCAACTGATCGCTCGATTAAAAAAAACCCAAACTGGGGTGGAGCAACAGCCAGCATTACCATAAATAAAGAGGTGTTTTTATTCCACAATGGGGCCACCAATCAGAATGAGACCAAATGCTATATGCACTTGGTCCCATAAAAAACGTACTTAATCTGTAAGCCATGTCATTATAATCTGGAACGTTATTTTTTGGGGGGGGGAAGCAAATATCTTTTTCAGCAGATGCTTGCTCTCACTTCATTATTCCTTGCCTAGGTGAGCATGGCATGCAGCCCTCAGTCCACCTGCAGCCTCCTAGGATACATGTCACACATCCCAGGAGGCTGTAAGACAGTCACTCTGCCAGTGGACCCCGCAAATGTGAAGTAGGGGCTGGATTTGAGTGAACAGGAAGTCACAGTCGTCTCCTGAATCCAAGATGGTGGCGTTGGAACGCAAACAGTGGTGAAGACTTCAGGTTATAGGAAGATGGTCCTGGATTCCTAGGGCTGTGTTTTATAAAAAAAACCCTGTAGCTGCTGACATTTCACTTTTTGCAAAGCATGGTGAAGTTCCTCTTTGTATATAAACATGTGTTAGGCATATTTACTGCTGTATGAACATGTTTTCAGCAGAACAGTGCTGGCATTGCTGTGCTCTATATCCTATCCACTAATGAGTGGGAGCAGCTCAGGCTGTTTACTTTCCTGGCATGGAATATTGAGTTCCACTTCCTGGAAAGCCAGGCTGCTCTGAGAATAGCCCGATTTTCTGCTGATTTCACACTTTCACACAGCTTCCATATCCGTACCCTTTGATTTCCCAGAGTACTATTTAACTTTTCCCAAAACTGACAAACCAGGAAGCTGCACCCTTTCTTTCATGTGATCTAGTTTCAAGCAGTCCTGGGGATTCCCCTTGCTGTCTATTGCGTGCTGCTGCCTCGGAATTGCACTATCATCTGGCAGTTGAGAGGTTTCACTTTGTAAACTTCTCTGAGGCAGTTTATTTGTTCTTATCCTTCTGCACCCTGGTGGATTATCAGTTTAGACACTTGTTGTCACAGCCTCTCGATAGTCTCTGTATAGCAATTAACGATTCATTTCTCAATTAATCGTTAATCTTTTTGATCGATTAAAATGTTTTTGAAACTTTCTGCACGAGCGCCAGCCAAGGCATTGTCCTATACACATACAGCACAGCAATGAAGTATTAAAATGAACTAGGATCACACTAATCCAGCACGTTATTATTCTGAGTTGCCCCACTCAAGCGGCGGCCATATTGAGTGGGGCACGTGAGATTAATAACGTGCTGGATTAGTGTGATCCTAGTTCATTTTATTACTTCATTGCTGTACTGTATGTGTATCGGCCAATGTAGTTGGATCTGTATGTGCGTTATAATTAAATCAAAATTAATCGATTAATCAATTTAGAAAAATTTTGATTAATCGAACATGAAAATTTTAATCATTACCAGCCCTAGCAATAAA